TTTGGGCCATCTGGAGCGCAAGAAGGAAGATTATTCATGAAGAAATCTTCCAAACCCCAATGGCCACACATATGTTCATATCCTCGTTTTTGTTGGATATCTAGGTAATTGGGAAGACCAACACTCCGGTTAGCAGAAGCATCGTTGTTAGACCTACCGTTTGATACACCCCTCCTTAGGAGCGTGTGAAGTGTAATGGCGATGTAGTGGTGGCACGGAACCAAGAATTTGGAGTTGTGGACGTTGTCTTTCGTGATGATGGGGGCTCGTTTCTTGGATCTTCATCGATCGCTATAAGGGGGATCATGGACCCAACGACTCTAGAAGCTCTTGCGGCCAGGGAATAATTACTTTTAGCGGAAGATCTATATGTCCAAAGAAATTCATGTGGCGTCTGATTGCAAAGTGGTGGTGGGCGATATCAGGCAAGGAACTTCTTTTGCATATGGAGCTATCATTAAGGAGACAATTAATAGATCGTTCTAGAAAAAATCCCATTTGTAATTTTGTTCATGAGTTTAGTAGTTCAAATTTCAAAGATCGGAATCTCATGAAGCATGCTTTTGTCTTTAGGGATTGGCCGCCATGTTTGGTTCGGCCAGCCCAATAATTTCTGGTTCGTCCCTTTAAACATTGTGACAATTTGAATAAAACTTCACGAGTTTAGCCTAAGAAAAAACCTGTTCACTGCATAGTTGACACTTAGCTGTTAAAAATAGGTGGCACTTTCTGCTTTTTTTTTGCGCATAACGAAACTTTCATTACTTAACCAGAGTCATTACAATCCTATTGACATAAGATGTCAACCTCATCAGGGGCACAATGAAGCCAAACAGCAGTTTTGGGCAGTAAACGGCCCATTTGTGCGAGAGCGTGGCTAGCTTTATTCTGCTCTCGTTTAATCACCGCTATTTCATGTGGCCGGACAGCTAGGATCTGCTTGATGTCGCCAACCATGGCCGCCACTGGAGCCCTGTTGGTTTCGGTGTCCCTGACCATGTGAGCCGCCGTCGAGCAGTCCGTCTCCACTATCAACCTATCCGGGCTCCGCTCCATAGCCAGAGTCACTCCCTCCATGAGTGCCGCCATCTCTGCCTCGAGGGCGTTCGTACAGCATGGGATGAACCGGCAAGAAGCGAAAATGACGGCACCTGTGTGATCACGAAGTATCATCCCAGCACCTCCTGTTCCCTCCTATTCCTTCCATGCACCATCCACGTTTAGTTTTACCCAGCCAAATGGAGGCTTGCTCCAGTGCTCAACAGGACGTGAGCAAGTGCTTGGTATTTTATGTCGTTCTTTGCCGGACGTGCGGCCACCATAAGTAATCACTCCCTTCCCCTTGGCAACGTCATCAGATGGATTTTGCTGAATGTACAACAGCATATTGATGTAGCCGGACAGGAATCTGGTAGAAGCCTCAAGTGGTCGTGCAGGTTTGTGGTGGTATACTTCATTACGTACATACCAGCTCCGCCAAAGTGTCATCACCACATGGAGTCTCTCCTCGTTCTTGCATTGGTCCAGCAGGTGGATGATCCACTCCGGCCCAGTGTTGACGATGGTCTCCAGCTTGGGCATACTCCATGTACGCGCCATCGCCGTCCATAGCTGTCGGGCCAACGGGCAACGGCATAGGGCGTGGTATGTGTCCTCGCATTCCAAACCACATAAAGCACATATATTAGACACCTCCAGTGTTCGTTTATGTTTATTTTCAAGCGTTGCCAAAGAGTTCGTCGCGACTCTCCATGCGAAAACTCGTACTTTAGGGGGAGCAGGGCACCCCCACACTGCCTTCCAGACGGCACGAGTGCCGTCCGGTGCCCTGCTCTTGGCGCACGCGGTGGTGCTGGTCCGCTCCTCGAGAGCGGTCTTGTATGCGCTGCGGACGCTGAAATTGCCCCGCGCGTCCGGCGCCCATGATAGGACGTCCTCCATCCTGCGTGGGCTGGTCTTGATCGCCAAGATGCATTCCACGTCGGGGGCACTGAAGTGTTGTTGGAGGAGGTCCACCCGCCACCTTCCATTAGCATCCAATAGCTCCGATACCCGCCTGAGCCGGCATGTTCGCCGTTGTGTGATGGGCCTGTAGGAAGTTGGGCGCGGGATCCACGGGTCGCGCCAGATGCGAATTTGCTCTCCATTGCCCACGCGCCATAGGAGCCCGCGTTTGAGCAGCTCGAGACCATGCTGGATAGCATGCCAAGTCGGTGACGCGTTACCTGAAAAAACAGTGTCCTCAAGGGACCCATTAGGGTAATATTTTGCTTTGAGAACCTGGGAGCACAAGGAGTCCGGCCTTGTTATAAGGTGCCAAGCTTGCCGAGCTAGCAATGCTTGGTTGAAGATGCGGAAGTCTCTGAAGCCAAGGCCCCCCTTTCCTTTTGGTTCAATCATTTTCTCCCATGCCCGCCAATGCGTCTTCCTCTTGCCTTCTTTAGACCCCCACCAGAAGTTTCTGACCAAACGGGTGAGATCATCGCACACAGAATAAGGTAGTTTGAACACTCCCATTATGTAAGTAGGGATAGCTTGCAGGACAGATTTGATCAGTGTTTTCTTCCCTGCCTGTGAGAGCGTATTCCCCCAGGCCATAATTCGCTTAGTTAAGCTTGCCTGCAGCATTTGGAATCTACCTTTATGCATGCGCCCATCCGGGGTAGGTAAACCGAGGTATTTCCCTTCAAACTCAACATTGTGTACCTGCAGTACTTGTCTAACTGCTGTTTGTATCACCAAATGGCAATTGTCACCAAACTGAATAGAGCACTTTTGCGGATTTATGAGCTGGCCCGTGGCTCCCGCACAACTCTGAAGGACACCCTTTACATACTGAGCTTGTTCAACGCTAGCTTTAAAGAATAATAGTGTGTCATCTGCAAACAGGAGATGCGATATTCCCGGCGCCCTACTACAAATTTTTACTGGTTGGAAGGCATGATCTTGCCCTCCCTGTCTCAATAGAGCAGATAATCCATCAGCCACAAAGAGGAACAAAAAGGGGGATAAGGGGTCACCTTGCCGAAGCCCTCGCGTCGGTGCAAACGAATCCAGAAGGGCTCCATTAAATTTACCAGAATAACTCACCGTGGTGACACATGTCATAATCCATTGCACCCACCGGTGAGAGAAGCCCATCCTCTCCATCGCTTGCTTCAAGAACCCCCATTCGACCCTGTCATAGGCCTTTGATAGGTCTAGCTTGTACGCACAATAGCTATTTTTTGGATTTTTCTCATGTTGAATAAAATGCAGGCATTCGAAGGCAAGTAGTGCATTATCTGTGATCAGCCTACCCGGCACAAATGCACTTCGAGAAGGTGATATAATCTCATCAAGAAGTGGCCTGAGTCTGTTCACCAAGCACTTAGCAACAATTTTGTAAATGACATTACATAGACTTATTGGCCGAAAGTCAGTCATTCGAACAAGATCATCAACCTTAGGAATAAGGACGATAACCGTTTCATTCACACCATCTGGCATAACCCCTGTCCGGAAAAATTCCTGAACAGCCCTGATAATTTCGCCCTTCATAACTAGCCAATTTTTCTGAAAAAACCTCGATGGGAAGCCGTCCTTGCCCGGCGCCTTCAGGGGTCCCATCTGGAATAAACTGTCAGATATTTCTTTCTCACTGAATTCAGCACACGGACTTTCTGCTTTCTCTTAAAAAGGTGTGAAACTTTCAAATTTATTGAGGACAACTGGGCGATTGTTGCTAACAGCTACCACAAAATTTCAGCATACATCCTTGCTCTGGTGTCGTCAAATCAAATCCATTAATCCACAAATAAAACTTTCTGCACTCCAAATAATGTTGTATACATCTAGAAGCCCAAATTTATTGAGGGCAACAGGGCATGTCCCATTTGAATCTGCCCATCATGCAGATGTCAGAGCGAGCGAGGCCTGTGTGTGCATGTCGCGCAGATCAGATTTCTTAGAACTAGCTGTGTTTCAGCTGGATGTATGCAGCTGCAGATACAGCCAAGATATGCTTAAGAAATGGTTGCCTCTCACGTGCCCGCGGCGCCCGCGGACAAAACCTCCCCCGTATCCTATTGCCGCGCCATGTTACCATGTTGTTGTTAAGGGTCAAGATCGATCGTCGTCGTTGGCCGCTGCCGCCCTGGCTGCTAATCACTGTAAACAAGTGCGGTTAAAGATATCGCCAGAATCCACACACAGGTTTTGTAGCACATTAGGCACAGTAGCTTAGGCAAGCCGCTCCGTAGCAAGTGAGGATAGGGTTTTGCTCGGAGGTTCGATCGAGGCAAAGAAAAGTCAGTGTCCTAAAGCATGTGGATCGTGTATTAACAATCCCAACGGAGTACACACATCTTGTACTGCCATTTGATCTTAAATTTGGCATGTTCTTCCGGCCGTCCGGCCGCCCTAATTAACACCGCATGGATCTCGCCAACCATTTGCTTCGCTTACCAGGTGCCAAAAGACATTAGTCTTCTTCATGTCAGTGAGACGGAGCTACCTTTGTTAGCACGGGGTCAATTGACCCCCAATGAAATTAGCAAGATCTTCACTAACTAATTACTAATCGATATACATTTATAGAACATGACCCCACTGTCATAGAACATGACCCCATTAAGCTATTTTTTAGCTTTGTCTGTGAGTGAGGGTTTGCTTGTTCTTATTTTTCAAAAATTCAAATTACAAAATGTTACCAGTACAATTGTGTGTAGTAGTGCAAGGATTTGGGGTTGAAAAGTCAGTCATTGCCGCGTATTGATTGATTCTCACTCCCTCTCCGCATTTAGAACTCTGCTGATTTCTTTAAGCGACCGTCCTGATGCGATCTTAACTACACTGCAGCCCGGTCACTACCCCACACGTCGACGGACACACAAGCACAAGAGCAAAGGCAGCAGCACTGCAGCATTGCGCTAGTGTCATAGCTCGATCGGCGCAGGCTATCTAGCTAGTAGCGTCGACCCCCGCCCTCCCGGAGCGCAGCGTCTGGCAGGGTGCGCGAGATGGCGCCGCCGCTGCCGAGCCGCGCCGCACTTGCGCTCATCGTCGCCGTTGCCGCGCTCCTCGTCGTCGTCGTCGCAGCCGAGCTAGACGCGGGCAGCAGCACGTGGGCACCGGAGGATTACGGCGGCGGCGCCGTCACCGCCATGCGGGCGGCGTGCAGGGTGGAGGACGAGGAGGGGTGCGGCGGGGAGGCGACGCTGCGGAGGCATCTGGGAGGGGGCGGCTACATCGGCTACGACGCGCTGCGGCGCAACGCCGTGCCGTGCTCGGTCCGCGGCGCGTCCTACTACAACTGCCGCCCCGGCGGGCAGGCCAACCCCTACTCCCGCGGCTGCTCCTCCATCACCCGCTGCAGAGGCTAGCTATCCACGCGTACCTCGCCGTCGCCGCCGTCGGTCGACTGCTCGCTCGGTGGTTCTTGTAGGATCTTGTAAGTTGTAAGACATGTTCGATTGATTCTCTTCTTCTTCTTCTTCCAGTCGGTGATCCTTGTTTGGGGTTTCATTATACCGGATTCAGTCCGAGAATGATTCGTTCAGCAAATCATCCATGGCTACTTCTGTAATTGGAGGCAATGTATCGATGGATCGATCGTGAAATTCATGTTACTGATTCGTTTGAGCTGTACTGTGCGGTCGGTAAATAGGAGTATTACTGCTACGGTGTTTTAATCGAGTTCAGAGTTCTCAGACTGTCTGTAGCGTGCGTACGTACGTGATCGGTAAATAAATCCGTGGTCCTGTCCTGGAGGCAACGAATCGCACTACTCCTGGACGGATCCATCGATCGATCGCGTTGATGCTGCCACTTGCCAGTATAATTTATTAGTGCGATACGGGCGATGCATTGCACATGAAGCGTTCGAGCTGCGTAGGAACTGGCGCACCGACAGCCTCTGGAGAGCACGGGACTTTAGTGTTTTGTTTGAGCCCAGATCGGAAGTGGGCAGATGCAGCCAGAGTAGCATGACCGCACGACAGTGCCGGCTAGTTGATGATGGATCACTGATTTTACTGTTCCATTTCACAAGTTGTCATGCCGCCTCGGAGCATCTGCAACTGCACCCCACTTCCCCCTAGACGCTCGGACATCGTCTGAATCCAAAAACATCACCCAACAGCCTATACGTGGGGTGGATATGTGGCCGCTTGGACACACGCGGACATGTTCGTCATGCTGGACAGACCCATCTCGACCTCACACAATCTCGTCCCAATCCCCTCCTTGAATCAAACCCTAGTTATTTGTGTCACTTTACTTCGCTTCAGTTCGCTCCACTCTATCCCTTCCCATCCTTTCTGATCATCTCCGGCATGGCCAGTAGTGTACCTAAGTCTGGTTGACCTAAAACTGTCGACGGGGAGCTCGTCGTCGGTTCGTACGAGGAGGAGAGAGCCCTCCCGTTGTGGTCCACAATTCCTTGAGGATGCTGGAGTTCCGGCGTGGGAGCCGCCCTGCCAAGGATCCACCAGGCAGAAGCCTTCACCGGGCCTCCTTTGGTTTGTAGGAATCTTGTAGGAATTTTATAGGATAGGATTTTCAAAGGAAAAATTCCTATGAATCCCTTTGGTTTGTAGGAATGAATTCCTAATCCTATGTAGGATAGAGTCCAATCCTTCACATTTCAAAGGGAATAGTAGGCCTCTTTTGGTTCATAGGATAGGATTATTATAGGAATAGAAATCTTGTATGAAATGAGATGACATGTATCTCAAATCCTATGAGTAGGAATAGAAAACAAGATGTCATTTGGTTGACACCAAAGGAATTTTTCCATTGAGTCTAGCCTCTTTTTTACTTTCCTATGAAATGTGGAAGATAGGAACCAATCATATGTAGAAATAGAAATCCATTCCTATGAACCAAAGGGCTTTAAAGGAAAAAAATCCTATAAGAATCCTATCCTCTAGAATTCCTATGAAATTCCTCTAAACCAAAGGAGGCCTAACCTTACTCAATGGAAAAATTCCTATCCTATGCATCAAATGGCATCTCTTTTATATAGGAATTGAGATGCATGTCATCTCACTTCCTATGAAGTTTCTATTCCTATAATATTCCTATCCTATGAACCAAAGGAGGCCTAACCTTACTCAATGGAAAAATTCCTATCCTATGCATCAAATGGCATCTCTTTTTTTTATAAAAATTGAGATGCATGTCATCTCACTTACTATGAAGTTTCTATTCCTATAATATTCCTATCCTATGAACTAAAGGAGGCCGGATCCAGCACCAGCAGAAGCTTGCGCCACGTGTTCGCCCCATTACCGCGGCATGCAAGTGTGGTTGAGCGGGTCCCCGACAAAAGGTATCGGTACCGTGGCGCTTGGTCCATCTACCTGCGACGTCAGCCTCGGAGACCGAGGCCAATGGCAGCAATGCTCGAGGCCCTAGATGCCCAGGATGCGAAAGCTGCGGACAGGCGCCTGTGGTTGAGGCACAACTTGCCTGACATGACAAGGAGAAATATCAAAAGTTTCAGACATTGTTTGCGTTTAAAAATTTCAAGCATTGTCTGCGTTTAAAAGTATCAAACATTGTTTGCATTTAAACGAAAAAGAAAAAAATAAAAGTAAATTAAAAGATGAATGGAAAAATGAAAATGAAATAATAAAAGAAAAAGGGAAAAGATGGTGATCAACCGACCGATCTTTCTCTAACATCCGCCGGGTCTTACGTCTGCCACACGTCTTCATGGGCCCGTGCCACCACATTTTCATTCATTCTTATCTATACTAAAATGCTAGCCACGTATATTCTTACAACTGAGCACTAATTTCAAAAGGCAGACCGCAACAAGCAGTTTGTTGCAGACCCACCAGGAACCGCGTGAGGAAGGGCAACGCCGATGACAGAGCCTCCACCGGTGGTGGCCTCCCCGACCATGGCGGGGCGACCAGGGCAGCCAGGCACGAGCGGTCGTCGCCGGAGCCACCCAACTGCCGGCCGGAGCCACCCAAGTGCCGACGTGAAGAGCCATGCCGCCTACGCCTCTGCGTGATCCCAGCCGGAGGTGCCGTCGCCGATGGCGAAGCGGCTGGAGGACCAACGACACAACACCGTCGGGTCAGCCTCCCGCAGTGGAAGTCGCCCATGCCCGCCAGGCCGTGCGGATGCACACCGACAAGTTTCTGCAACAACGATGGTGCGCTGCAACATCCTTTCATTGCAAAAAATTCGGCAACATCATCCATGTTGCAAAAGTTCTTTCTGCAACATCATCTCTGTTGCGAAAAGATGAAGCTGAAAAAACATATATTTATAAATGTTTCTGCAACATCTGCTCTGTTGCAAAAATTTCTGAAACATAACTTCTGATGCAAAAGTTTTCTGAAACATAACTCCTGGTATAAACTTTTTCGCAAAGTGATCCATGTTGCAAAAGTTTCTGCAACCTAAACTTTGTTGCAAAGATGGAGAGCGCCACTCGGTACTTGATGATGCAGATGGCATACGCGTAGCAGTGCCCAAAAAATATGCAACATTAGCTCTGTTGCAAAAAAAAAACTTTAGAACAAAACCTCCGTCACAAAAGTTCTGCAACTCGAACTCTCTTGCAATCATCCGAAACGCAACATCATCATTCTTTCAAAAGCTAGGAGCTGGATCAGAAGGCTATCCCGCGTTGAATCCAGTGGTTCGTGAGGCGACGGATCTTTTAAAAAGATCCGCTGGCCGACGCATAGCGCTGCCCAAAGAAAAAAATGAAAATTAAAAGATAAAGCCAAAAGGGAGAAAACCCGAAAAAAATAACAATAAAAAAAGGCGGTTTGAGAGGGACCTTCCCGAAACCAGCCATGAGCAGGTTGGGCCAGACCAGCTGTACGCTGTGGACGGGGCCAGGCGGTAGGTGTGTACGCTCGCTCGAGACCAGCACGCCGAAGAGAGAGGGAGTAATTAGGTGACGAGCGCTCATTCGAGAGCCTCATAATGATCAGCGTCACTTGGCGCATTCTCAGCCGTCTGCCATGTATCGCATTCTGGTCGCTTCCTCCGGATTTTGTTTTATTTTTATTTTTACACACATTTTTTTGTTTTTTTATACGGTTTTTTTATTCGTTTCGATTTTTCATCGGTCTTTCTTAATTTTTAGATAAAAACCCAAAAAAATTTGCACGAAAAAACATGTTTTTTTCTTCCGCGAGAGTCACGGTTTTGCTTTCATGAGAGACACGTTTTTGCTTTCGCGAGAGGCACAATTTTGCTTCTGCTCCTCTTTCGGAAAGGGGAAAACCCGTACTCGCGGTTTAGTTTTTCGTCCAGTTTTTGTCATGAAAAAACGTTTGTCAAAACCTATCATCATTGGGTCTAGTGTTGAAGATGTTGACGCGAGAAATCCAACAGTGAAAACAGTTTGAGATTTGGACGCACGGTTTAAGAGATAAAACATTTTAAATAAATGAATCTAAAAAAAAAGAAACTACAGGTTGCGACAAGTAGCGCATATGCACCTCACAATTACTGATTTCGGAAAGAGACCAGCACGCCGAAGAGAGAGGGAGTAATTAGGTGACGAGCGCTCATTCGAGAGCCTCACAACGATCAGCGTCACTTGACGCACTCTCAGCCGTCTGCCACGTATCGCATTCTGGTCGCTCCCTCCGGATTTTGTTTTATTTTTATTTTTACACACATTTTTTTGTTTTTTTATATGGTTTTTTTTATTTTTTCGACGTTTCGGTTTTTCATCGGTCTTTCTTAATTTTTGGATAAAAAACCAAAAAAAATTGCATGAAAAAACATGTTTTTTTTCTTCCGCGAGAGTCACGGTTTTGTTTTCACGAGAGGCACGTTTTTGCTTTCGCGAGAGGCACAATTTTGCTTCTGCTCCTCTTTCGGAAAGGGGAAAACCCGTACTCGCGGTTCAGTTTTTCGTCCAGTTTTTGTCATGAAAAAAGGTTTGTCAAAACCTATCATCATTGGATCTAGTGTTGAAGATGTTGACGCGAGAAATCCAACAGTGAAAACAGTTTGAGATTTGGACCCACGGTTTAAGAGATAAAACATTTTAAATAAATGAATCTAAAAAAAAAGAAACTACAGATTGCGACAAGTAGCGCATATGCACCTCACAATTACTGATTTCGGAAAGAGAGCTCCTATACGCGGCCCATCTGCGTCCCATCGTCGCGCCTTCGCTGAAGGCAAAGGAGTGGGATCGAACCATCGACCTCATAATCGATTTTAGCGAGGCTAGCCAGCCGAGCTAGCGAGCTCGGATGTTATAAACGCAGCGCCACACTTTAAGTCCAAAGTACAGCGGCAAATCCTAAAAAAAAGTTAAACATTTTTATTGTATACCTTGAACAAAATAGAAAATACAGTGAACTTTTTTGCAAAACGTAATGAACAACACAAT